CAGCGCCTGGCAAAGGCAGCACAAGACAAGCATGAAGTCAAGCATGTGTGTTCTGCGTGCGCAGGTGTGCGCACCGTGTCCGAAAGACTTGGCTTTTCAGTTTCGCCCAGAAAGGACATGTGGACATCCACGCAGTGGGCGGAAAACTGTTCAGTGCATCTGAGCTCAAAAATCGGCCATGGTGAACACAGAATGAAAGCCGGGCGCATGTGAGTTAAGCCAAAATAAGTAACTGCGCAACAACAGGACACATGCATCTAGTCAATCTAGTCATCCTGCAAGTTGCAAGGCATTCTTCGCCTGCGCCCAGTGATGTCCCCGCGAGGCTGCCGTGATCGCGGCTCCCCACAACGCGGCGCCTCAGGATGAGGATGGGCTAACCATGGCAGGGCTGAAAGCTCCAAAGGCCTCCAGCCACCGAAAACCATGGTACAAGTAGCTCCAGAGCCTGACAGGAGCTGCTTCAATTCCCTCCCTTTCAAAAGACACATGTCATACCAAGCATGAGGTGTAGCTCCAGGATTGGTCCGTCTTTTGTCAGGCTCTTTATGGGGCGATGTGCCCAGAAGAAATGAATCAGTTGGGCTCGCCTCTCTCCAACAAGAAGACATCGAAAACGCGTTTGCCTCGGATACCCAGCGTTGACCGTACTTGCCACAGGGATCGCTGCATTTCCCCTAGGGACTGTCCTGAACCTGAACTAAGCCCTTACTGTGTTTAATAAAGACAGGACAACAAAGGAACTGCCATCTCCTGGACGCTGGAAGCATAGCTAAGATAGCTTCAGTTGACACCTTGTGGAACTCTCTCCACACTGTCGACAGCTTCATCGAATGCTTCAGACGTTGGCCGCTGCCGCAAGGCTCGCTTCACCCACCTCCACAGACTGCCTCGGCGGGCTGGCTGGCTCCCAGCTGCTGGCTACGGAGGCTCCTGGGGCCTGGGCTGTTCCATCAAGGCCAGCAAAGCAGCTGCCTGGAGGGAAAAGCCAAACAGCCAAGCAGGGCCTAATGTAGACTCTTGATGAACAAAACCCCCCAGGCCTGAAGAGGACTTCCAATTCAAACGAGGAACATGAGGGTGGTGATTAATCAAGAGTTACATTACGGTTCATCCTTCACACCTTCCCTTGATTCCCTTTGCCTTCGGCCATAGTGAAGGGGATGCACATGCCGTCAAGGAGGTCCCACAAAGGGCAGGTGTCAGAAGGCGTGCACTCACTCCTTGGTGCAAAACCAAGTGGTGAACCACAGATGGGGTGGATGGTCATCTGTGTTCCAGGTGTCCAGTTCTATCTATCTCAGGAACCTTTTTACATGGCTTTTTCAAGTTAGGAGCTAGGAAAAGCTGAGATGTGAACCAATTTGTAGAAGAGCAAATGACACCTTGACCCCATGATGCTTTGGGCAGACTAGCACCGAAGGGCGATGCGCCCCCAATCAGTCGTGTCTGCAGCATGATTCATGATGATTCATGATCGTGCCTCCCATACATTTCGGCAAGCCGCCGCGGTAGCGCTTAGCATCACAGCATCACCTGCAACACTCAGCATCGCACAGCTAGCGGCATTGTGATAAGGAGGCTTGGTTTAGGGTACATACAGTAGCCCGACTGCTGGTCAAAGGACAAGTCCATGGCCGTATCTTACATCTCATATTCAGGCCTTTTAGCCACCTGAAGAGGTGAAAAATGACATGCTGAGTTCTGCCTGGATATCTTCGATGGTTCTTGTCGAAGAGTGCCACAGCATCTTCCCTGACCGAACATTGCCATGCTGCAGTGTGAGTTCACCAGAGAGCCTTACACACATTTACACCGAAATGTCTGTAAGTTTACAGTAAGCCTAGTGAGAGTGGTTGACCCAAAAGGAACGAATTAATCTAGAATCTAGAAAAAACATCCATCTACCATGGGACAGACTTGGGGTTTAGGTGCTCATCCACAGCCAAATACCTTGGAAATTGTTACCAATGCCCATAGCTCTTAACTGACCCTCCAATTGCTAATCCCAAAATAAGATAAAGCTCCAAAGGAATGTGTGTATATATTATGTGTGTAGTATGTATGTGTATATATATAACTATAATATGATACTATGCATAGTAGGCGAAATCCTATGGGTTGCGAGCCTCTAACTCTTCTAAGTTCCGCACCATCGAGCTACAGCAGCCAATGCACTGATCACAGCAGTGGCCGCCACGTGGTCAGGGGCGACTGAATATCGTGGGCGCATGGCATTGAAGAGATGAAGCGCTCTTCGCCATTCCTTGCCGTGGACGTCACCAATGGGGGGATTCATAAGATTAGATTCATCATCGAACATCTCGAAACCCTCCTCCCAGCCTTTGCCGTGAGTGTCTACGATGTTTGCGTGTTTGCTTTGTTATATTCATCCGGTTGTTGGATTACAAAGCAGTGACATGCCATTCCTAAAACAGCCAAGCGCTGCCACCCAAGCAATTCGCGCACGAGTGGGACAAACACAGTACAGAAATCAGCTCAATCAAGAGCCAGCCCAGAATTTAAGGCGTCGTCTGCTCCTTTGGCAAATGCATCAAGGACCTGACAAGTTCCAGCCCAATCCCACATCCACACAATGCTAGAAAGCAGACCGGATTGCCTGAGTCTCGAACAGCTCCAAAAGTGATCACGGAAGGTTGTGGTCCTCGTTGCTGCATAGTCCGCAGTAGCAACCTAGACTTCAGCAGGTAAGCCGGTAAGCCGCTAATGTCTCTCTTGTTAGATTGTCTGCTGACAAAAGCAGGAATCCTGAAGACAGTGAACCGAAAAGAATTCTGTCATGCTCAAATTCAGTTCATTCAGGAGCACATTGTTTCTTCTATGTTGGGCCAGGGGCACTTAAATTTGGGTCCTCCTTCCAGCAAGCTATGAGACCATTCACAACACTTGCTTCTCCAGCAAAGGTAAGCTTCTGACGCAGCACGTTGCCACTGAATTGCCCGAGCCTCACTTTCGGTGGTGAGTGGGTCTCATCAGATGTACATCCTCTGACACCCTTATGAAGCGCCACTCCACTCACATGCACGTGTCCACCCACCTCTATACAGGTCTATCCGCAACTGTTCTTCGCCTAGTTGACCGCCACTCATCTAACTAAGGCTGCAACGCAAGCAGAAATCGCCGGATTGCAGGGTGGACGAACTCAGGCAAAATGACACTGTCGGTGCACAAGCGTTTCGAGTTTTGTGTCTTGCTGCTTTGAGTCTTGTGAACCACGATGGCCTCCAACCTGGTAGCAAGGACCTCCAACCCTGTCGCGATGGCCTCCACCCTACTAGTGGTGACCTCAAACCTTGCGT